GCACCCCCCCCCCCTCCCTCCGATCTTGTCCGTGACCACACAGCTCTCTCTGTTCCCAACCAACATTGGGATCAGGCCTCAACAATGCTGATCCCATGCTCACCGGCAGTGTCGTATTTTTGGACTTTTGTTCGGCGTCAATGGGACCTTTGTGTCGCATGCGCATCAGATGTATCAGCCACATCTGTAAATATTTATGGGTTTGTTTTACGCACAAGAGAACCCTGCAGCTTACATTGTTCTACCTGTCACTAGATGTATCCATTCGACAAAGAAAAAAAATCCCCCCCTCAAAAAAACCTACCCTGCATTCATTTGGAGCGAGGCTTTGTCTGTCTCTCAGTCAGGTATTCTAATGGTGTCTATGAATAATATGTTGCAGGTCTGCTCCCGCAGCTCATCGGCGTTGCCCCGGAGAAAGCTATCAAACTCACGGCAAGTCGTCCCCCGTGTGGCTCAGTGTTCAGGAAGTCGCTTCAAACGACTCGCTGGGAATGAAAAACATAGCATAGAGTGCAGAAGAGCATCTCTTTGCAATCAAGATGTGACTGCAACCACGAGTTAACGTTAATGCCCCGCCATCAGGACTGGGATTGTGTTTCATCTGCCTTTTTCGTTGTTGGTGTCTTCTTCTCTCCTTTTTTTTCTCAGATGAATGATTTTATCCGGGACAAGTTCACCACAGAAGATAATACCATCGCTCTGCCTGCAGAGATTCTCGCTGGAGGATGCGTAAGCTTTACATAAGTGACGTTTTATAAATTTAGTCTGCAGATCAACTCAAAGGTTAAGGAACAGCTAAGCGATGGACAAAATATATGCATGATTTTTAATTAATTGTTTATTTCGATGCTAAAACTAAAGTAATTCTTACATTTTGATATTGTATATCCAACTTGCTGACTAAAAGAGATTGAATGTTGAATGTTCATATTGATGATGGATCTTTATAAAAATCATACCAGGCTTGCATTGTAGACAAGGGCCCATTTGACCAGAATAGTTTATGGAATTTATTAAGAAATGTCTAAAAATTCCACTAGCAATTGCTTCTTCATCCAGTTTGTGTGAAAGTTTATTATTCAATGTCATATGTCAGATATTCTGTTTGGCATCCTACATGAATACAGAAGTTAACCTTCTGATCTGAATTTGAACTTTTTTTCTTTTTAAATCTTGGCCACGTTGAAATGTAAGTATTTTACGTAGATTACTAGATTACAGATGTAATTCCTTCAGTGAGTGGAACAGGCCGGCCTCACAGCAGCGCCCGCAGGTTGCTCACAGAGGAGCGGGGTCCGCAGGGTCGTGACCTCTGTCAGGGTGTAATTGTAGGAAGAGGCCCTGGAGGTTCCTGGATGAAGCTGACTTTAGCTCAAGAGTGATTGAGTTTGACAACGCAGTGCATACCTGAGGTGTGGTCGCAGTGCTGGACAGCAAGAATACACAACGTTACTGCTCAGGATACATCTAATCCATGGACTACATGTCAATTATATATTTATATATATGGCCATATATATAATGGGCATGCGGCCCACTTGTGTTTAAAAAAGTTAAAGGTCTAGTTACTATGAGGGCTTTTTAGATTATTGCTTCAATCCGGAAGAGAAGTGGAGAAGATAAAAGAGATGGCACCAACGCATCAATCTTCAGAGCAGCGGATATTCCCCCTCCTCTTTGAAAATGGCTAAATGTGCCGGAGCTTTTTTTAGAGCTTAGCTCGGATGTTTACAGATAAGACCCCTGCCCTGAATGTCACCGGCAGCCATCCTGGGGCCTGATTAGATTTGGGGAGTGTGATAAATGTGCCCGAGTCAGAGGGTGTCACGCCTTCAGGGCATCGCTTGCCCGGACTCCGAGCCGCCCGGGTGATTCAGTGCTCTCTCCCCTGGGAATACGTCTGAATTGGGGAAGTGTGCGGGGCGAGGCCAGGCTGGGCCGCTCACCCTGCCACAGGAGGTGCCTCAGGGGAGGCGAGGGGGCAGAGGGCCTGTGCCAGGGTCAGAACCTCCCGACCATGAGCGGGGCTTCTCCTCGCCCTGCGCCTGCTCTGCTCTGACCCCGGTTGTTCCTCTATCAATGCCTGCTCTCTCCTCCTCCTGTCAAGGCCACTCTCTTACGATATGAAATCAGATCAGGGCAAAAAGTGCCTTTTGTGCCAAAGTTTGCTGAGATAATTAGAAAACTCCTACTAGGAAGAAGTGCTTACACATCATTATATTTCACCCAAAGTTCACCCCTTCAGATGTGCAGGCGCATTCCATCCTAAAAAGCCCAGCATGTTTGAATATAAACTACTGTTACTTTGTCCTGTTGTGTCCTACAGGCTGGAGCTTCCCAGGTGATCTTCACCAATCCTCTGGAGATAGTTAAGATCCGTCTGCAGGTGGCCGGAGAGATCACCACAGGGCCCAGGGTCAAAGCCCTGAGTGTTGTGAGAGAGCTGGGCTTCTTTGGCCTCTACAAGGTAGGTCAGCACCTCTGCAGCACCGCATCGTCTGCAGCATCAACCTCTGCTAAGTGTGGTACAAGGGCAGTGAAAGGTCTTATGCTCCTGAGAGACAATACCCAAGACACGGGGAGGTTAGTTGTTGTTCATTTCAGTGTTTATAGTCACAGAAGAAAATTTCACATATTATTCTACCAATGATTAAAGGTGGAAAATATGCTTCAAAGTTGAAGTAAAAACAAAAGTCTTCCAACTTGTTTTGTTTCAAAGTATCAAAAGTGAAGGTACTGGTATGTTATTCTAAATGATTTTTATTGGATTATTTTTAATGATGCATTCATTTTTAAATGGCATTTTGAATGTTCTTGTAGTCTGAAGACAAGTTACTTTTAGCTATATTATTAAATCCTTTTAATTTAAAGAATGCTTCTTTTTTTAAAGAATATAATAAAAAAAATTGTGTGAAAAATCCTAATCTGTGAAATAACAAATCATCACAGTAGCTGTCAAATGCAGTAAATAAAGTTGAGTAAAACACACCACTTTATTAAATAACGTAAAGGGATAAACATATAAAATTCACTACTTGAGTAAATTTACTTTACATTCCACAATTGCGTAATGATTTTTCCTGTAACGATACACAGATGAAATACTACTGTATTTAAACAAACATTTGTCTGTGTGTGTATGCAGACATAATGGAGGTCAGGATCACACATTTGAAGATCAAACATCCCTTTTGCTCACTGTTTGCAATTTTCTAAAACAGCGTTTGAACATACAAACTGTGGCCAACAACCAACAGCAAATTAGTGAGGGATTATGCGTTGCTACTGCTCCTTCTGCAGATCCGTGTGGCTTCTCTAGTCATGTGCTCATACTCCATATTTTAATGAGTAGCAGACAGTGTGTGGCTTCCGAGGAAAAAAAAGAAAAACAGACTTCCTCTTGGCAGGAGGACCCAGCACATCAAGTCCATAGCAAGGGTCTGTGTGTCTGTGTGTGTGTGTGTGTGTGTGCGGGGGGGGGGGGGGGGGGGCTGTGTTAAGGAACTCTCTTCTGAGGGCTTGTGCTGGAACTCTACCTGGGGGGGTCTTTGTCTCTCTTCTTTCACACAAAGCCCCCTTGAGGGAAGATAAACCTCGGTTCGCGGGACACTTAATCCCCAAAAAGAGTCTTTTCTTCCTGTTAGAGAGCCAAAGCGTGCTTCCTGCGTGACATCCCTTCTCCGCCATCTACTTTCCTGTTTATGCCCACACTAAGGAAAAATTGGCAGATGAGGACGGAAGGCTCGGGGCGTTACAGCTGCTCACTGCTGGAGCTATTGCAGGTATAAAAAAAAAATAAAAAAAAGAATCTGCAAAGCTCAGCGTCTTTGGACATCCGAGATTAATTCATAGACGTGCAACATTTTCTGCAGTTAGTTTCCCTCCCGTCTGTCGAATACAACAACCACCTACGGCATGTTTACGGTGCTTATGCATGCTTTTGTTTTATCACTATATAAAGTACCCGTTTCTCGGCCCTGCACAATGCTGCAGCAGCCGCGGCAGGACGTGACACGCATCTGTGCGCAGTGAGAGCGCTTCGTCACGTCTGTTGTGAAACATCTCCTAAGGTGTGCCGGCGGCGTCGCTGGTGACCCCCGCTGATGTCATCAAGACCAGGCTCCAGGTGGCGGCCCGGGCAGGCCAGACGACATACAGCGGAGTCATCGACTGCTTCAGGAAGATCCTCAAGGAGGAAGGTTTTCGGGCATTTTGGAAGGGCGCGGGAGGTAAATGCACACACACACCCACCATCCACAGTCCCTTAAGTGGTTCCATGACTTGGAAATGAGGCTCGCTGTGGTGGCTGTAATTGTCTAGAAGCCGCCGCAAGAATATTAAATCCCACATTGTAATTTTCAATTGCATCTTCCATTAGCTCGCGTCCTCAGATCTTCACCGCAGTTCGGTGTAACCCTGGTGACCTATGAACTGTTGCAGAGATGGTTGTACGTGGACTTCGGAGGACAGTGAGTACTTTAGTACATACCAAGCACCGGTTAAGAATTGCGTCTCGGGCTAACCCAGCTCTCTCTCCTCAGCCGTCCCGCCGGCTCGGAGCCCCCTTCCAAACCGAGGGTCGAGGACCTTCCCTCTGTGACTCCTGACCACGTGGGCGGCTACCACCTGGCCGCCGCAACCTTTGCTGGCGTGGAGAGAAAGTTTGGTCTGCACCTGCCCAAGTTCAAACCTTCTGAAGAGGCGACAACCAGACCGATGGAGGCAAAAATGGAGCCACAGGCTTGAGGAGTTGTCTTACTTTAAATGCAGCATGAGTGTGGATTTATTGCATTTTCTTTGCATAGCTTGCACAACATTATTGTACATATTGTACTCCTCTACAGTAGGACATTATGGCATGACGAAGGATTGTAAACTGCACTTCCTGGTGTGAAATAGCTTTGGTGTGCATGTGTCAAGTTATAGTAAGAGACACAAGAATGTACAGATGTTTTCAAAAGTGTTTATTTTGAAATCATGACCAGAAACTCAAAAAATAATTTAAATGTATTTATTGTATTTTATTGAAATAAATCATTCAAACTGTGCGTTTCTACTGTGTGAAAAGTACATTCTCACTTTTGACACCAAGCGTTGAGATTCTTCAGGAAACAAACAATCTGTTCAGATCCTGTTAACATACATGACTGAGCAGTTACAGCATACATGATCATCTTCTTAGGCATTGAGGATATTTCCCCCCCAGTCTAACCAGCTGCACTGATTAGGTGAAAACTGGTACAGAGTTGATTGATGTAGAAAGACATCTGCTTTTTGGACTTGAATAATTCGGATCATCGGGTTTAAAGAAGCAGATGACAACATGGTTCTACAGTCATGAAGTCTTTAAAAGATGTGATTACTCTACTTTTACTAATTTAGATTCAGGAACTCAAAAGTGAAGCCCATGCTAACGTGCCCCAAAGTGAAGACAACATTTTGCAATCAAAATGAAAAGGTTAAAGGCATCTGTTGAAAAAAGGCCAGCTGGTTTGTGTTCTGTGGGTGTGGCGTTGTGTTAGTGTCTGAGGCCGAGGGCCCCGTCGCTTGAGTTAATCCAAGGAAGACTGCTGACGGTCCAGCTAACTGAATAGAAAGATTTCTCTAATAAATCAAAAAAAAAGGTCCATACTTTTTTTTACAATCAAACCGCAATCTCCCCGCCGCCGCCATCTTTTCCTTCCACCAGAAACAGGGCTGATATCCACCAGCGCGCCACTGGTCCCTTAAACCTCGCCTCTGTTGGCGAGTGGATCAGGCAGCCAGGCGCTGAGCTGCCAGCTCCTCTGCATCGTCTCTGTTCTCGTTGATCTCTGCCAGCGTGCGAACAAAACGTGTCCACTCGTCGTTTCGGGGAACCGCCGTTTGCTATGAGGGGAGGGGATGGGGGGGGGGGGGGGGGTGCACAATAGAGATCAGGCTGAATCCCGTCTGCTACGTGAGAAACGCAAATGGTGAAAAGCAGAGTCACGCCTGCTCACCTCTCCAACATCATATACGAGGACCCGCCCATCAGAGTCTCCCACGGCGATTTCTCTGCCGGAATGAGCCCATCTGACCCTGTTTAGAGCCGGGTTACCGTCCACGGTGACGCTGGCGGTAGGGACCTAAGACAGCAACATCAGAAAATTCTGATTAGGACGGTGGAAACACGAACACCGAGCCCTTCTCAACTTGGTTCAGCCATGAGACGCAGGTGACTGCCTGGGCCTTCGAGGGGGCTTAATGAATGCGTGCGGGTAGTGGCGCTGGAATACCTCGGTGTCGTTGTTGAGGTTCCACAGGTCCAGATGACCCACGCCGTCCACGCAGGCAAACAGGGCCGGGTGAGTCGGAGACCACATGACGTCGTACACGTAATCAGAGTTATCTTCAAATGAGTAGAGAGGCTTGTTGTTCTGGAAGCATATTTGAGGGAAAAGAAACATAAAAACAGACAAGATTTTAGAGGTTTAGATTTTTTGTGTGTGTGTCATTGAATGTATAAAACTTTATCCCCATGAGATATACATTAAATATACTATGAAACATAATCTAAATGTTATGATGTTTTTATGTTACACAGCTACAGTATTTATTTAGAGATTAGTTCCGTTCAAAGCTGATGTCGTTTTTCATTCAGTGGATATTTAACATGCTACATTGGTAAAAACGTGTTAACTCACATGCTTCAGTTATACAACATGCTAAAGGCTAATCACAATTCTGACTCTTTGAGTATAATTAATAATTAATTATAATAATTATAATTTGTATTCCTTTGAGGACCATTGTAACTAATAACATTACGATTATTATTGCATTATTAAACCATGATATTTGTGTATTGCATTATTAAACCATGATATTTGTGAGAATGTGACATTTTGGACTGGATGAATTTAACCTTTAATCTAGTGCCACCATGAGGTCAAATCTTTTGTATCAGCTGTGGTTTGTGTCAAATGCAATTTGCATTGGTGACTGGTGGTAAACGTCATCTGCACGTTACAGCGGGACTGCAGGCATCAACCCCACACAGCGTGTAGTTTTTGAATTAAAAAGATAAGAAAAATGTATTATTTTGGCTGAACATATAATAGTAATTTAATAAAATAAGCACATTCTCAACATACACTTCACTGCAGTTAGAAATGAACAAAAGCTGTACTCTATGGAACCTTGTAGAGACCCAGCACACAGAGGGAGGGAACCTTTCCGACGCACTGATCTGGTCGTTGCAGCCACGTCAAACAGTTTGTACATCTGCTCTCACCTTGGTGCTCCACAGCTTGACTGTCCAGTCGAAGGAGGAGGTGACAAACAGGTGGGAGAAGTCCAGAGGCCCTGCAGCTGTGTGGCAGTTGATCCCTGTGATGGGCCCTTGGTGGCCCTCAAACATCTCACTTATGCCTGCTTTGCTGTGGAGAACACAAGAAGAAGTTAAGCGCAAGCGCACCAGCTACGACACATTTCTGTACGTTGCATAAAGGGAACCAACAAATAAAATCAAAACAGCCAACACTGGCATTCCTAAATCCTTTGGGCGTTATATATTAGGTACAGAAACAGGCGCAGATGAACATCTGATGGACGTATTTACAATAATCATTTACTTCTACCATGCGATCACCAGCAGGACGGCAGACGTGCCGGCGGTCCCTCAACTACGTGTCGCAGAGCCGTTTCCCAACTGAGGATCTGATCATTAACGCAGAGAGGTAAATACTCAGCGTGAGTGATGCTTATGCATTATTAACTGCAATGAGAGTATCATACCATCGCAAATGAGGTGGAAAATTATGGCCCCAATTACAGAGGTGATGTTGCTCTGCAAAACCTTGCAGCTACCCCCTCTCTGTGGTGTGTGAGCATACTGCAGGACATTTGCCGTGGGGCTCACGCGCTCCTCGTGGCAGCTGTGATTCAAGCCACATTTCTCTGCTTCTTCACCAGCGACCAACCACCAAGAGAGGAGCCCCGGCGTCTTAAATGAGAACATTGTGGGATGAACTGCGGTTTTAATTCTCCCCGGGAAAGGCGTGCGTAAACAAACTCCCTCACCCAGGGAAACATACGGAGGAGAGGAGAACAACCGAGAGGAAAACCATTTGTTTCCCCTGCATGTGTGCCCTGTTTATGTTGAGCGACCTTTACAAACACAACTGACAAGCGGAAAAGAAAAACAGGATGACTGGCCAGGAGTGAAACCTCAAACAGCAGGAGATCAAGTGTTGGCTTTGGGAAGCGAGTGGGCTTTTATTTATTTGACGCTCGGGCCGAGGCTGCGCCCAACAAGCCGCCGCCGGCGTCCGGGAGGGAACGCCGAGGGCGGTGAGTTTGCTTACGGACACACCTTCCATGACGACACGACATGTAGACCGAGCCGTCCTCGCTGCCCACCACGAAATTGTTGACATCCCCGAGAGGGAAGGACATCGAGGTGACGGCTACAGCTTTGGACTGCTTGAACACCAGCTCCATGCTGTCCTGTGGAGGAGAGGCAACGGGGGGGGGGGACACGTCTTTAACAAGCTCCCTACTCAGCCTCCGCGTTAACACACACACACACACACACTGCCAAGCGCACCCTATAAAACTCCTGTGACAGTTTGTTAATGCATAATCTAAATTCAACTAGCACTTTATATTAAAACAAGATGGAAGCTTGACATTAAGGCAGCAAAGTTAATTTCCTTGCAAGTGAAAAACGAGCCGCGAGTAATACCAGACTGGAATGCTAAAACTAAGGAGTTCGGCCAAAATGTTTGACATTTAGCCTGAAAGGGGTGAGACGTGTGACTGAAGAGACAGAAATACACATTAGGTAAAAACCTCAAGTGCTCAAAGCTCTAAAATGTGATGTTAACATCTCAATTACATTTCGTGGTCAAATCTTTAACGCGGAGTTATTTATTTTTATTCAGAAACACCTCTAGAAGAAGAACCCCCCCCCACACACACACATATTTATACAGTATACGTTACCTGTGGCTGGGAGAGCATGTCCAGACTCCAGGAGCAGATCTTGCCGTCAGTGGAGATGCTAATGAGGTTGTGGGCGTTCTGGGTGCCGACCACGTTGACGCAGTACACAGGGTGCTGCGGAGACAACGAGGGAGACGGGGGTTTTTACGCTTCTGCCGTGTCGGCATTAAAGAGGGAGCCCAGCGCGCTGGTTGTACCGGCGTACCGTGTGTGCCGCCGCCGACAGGGGGGTCCTCTGCACCGGGGTCCTCTTGTTGCTCCTGTTGTCCCACAGCACAATCTGCCCCGAGTACGTGCCCCCCACCACAACGTTGGGGTGAAACTTGGCAAAAGCTGCCGACATGACGGCGGACTGTCGGAGAGAGGCAGGAGCAGAGAAGAGTTATGGGCAATGTTTGGCTTCTCCGGTGAGGAGCAGAGTACTCGGACTAGCTGGTGGCAGGTATCGAGACGTACCGACTTGTCAAATGTGAAGAGAGAAAAACAGCATGGAGGCCCAGAAGACAGACGGTCGTGATGGAGGATGTTGTTTGTGGTGCTGTTGAAATGTAGTGTGTTGTAGCGGCAGGTGTTTTTATTATTTTGTCCAAGCCACTTAGTAATAACGAGGATTGTCTCACCGGTGTAATTCCTCTAGCTGAGCTTAACAATGCAGATGTAAACAACTTACTTACGGAGTACAAAACACTAAATTATACAGGCATTTCTAATCATTTAGTAATGGCATTGAATGGAAACATAAAAGTCAAAACAGCAAAGAAGAACCTGTTTTCCATCCAAAGTTATAAAACTGTTCCGTACAAAACAAACCTCAAGGCTGGTCATCAAGATTATTATACATTTTCGGATGGTGACTTTATTGTGTGTCATATTACTTTTTATTTTAAGGTGGCCGACACACACACACACACACCTCAACATTTTCTTTCTATAGGGGAGTTTTGTTGACAAAAATTGTGACACATTGTTAAAGAAACTTTCCTAACGGGTTTCGACTACGAGGCGTGGAGAAAACCCTCGTTCACACTTCTGTTCAGTTTTCATCCATCGGAGCATTTCCTCTACATCCGCTCTGGCTGCAACAACATGTGGTTCTACTCAACTTGTCTTGGTGAAGGAGCCTCGGGGGCCGGCATTATAATAAGGCCGGCGCGGAGCGGCGCTGCTCGTCTGAACACAGGGCCCTTGTTTGGATGCACATGATAAGCTGCCCCCCCCACCCACACTTAATCCTGCTGCAGCGCTCGGGTTCCATCAAACGCCCGCACCGCAGGTCTTGTCCTGCTCCTCACGCACATGTGTTTACGCATAGATGTGGTGGAGGTGGATGCCGGTACGGTGGGGGGGCAGGAAGGGCCTGGTTGGGCGGGGGGAGAGAGAGAGAGAGAGAGAGAGAGAGAGAGAGAGAGAGAGAAGCAGAGAGACTTTGGGTACCTGACAGTGGAAGACGTACTCCGGTGTGGCCTTCTTGTACTTCATGTTCCACACCAAGGCCACGCCGTCCGGCTCGTGAGGAGCCTCCTCATTGTTGTTGTACGAGGCGAGCAGGAGTTCAGGATACTGCCGACAGAAAGGAAAAAAGAAAAGAGCCCGAATGAATGCCGGAGACGAGGAGGCAGACGTGCCCCCCAGGCTTGGCTCCATGTGGAAAAGACTCGCCTGCCCTGTGTGGTACTTGTGAATGCCTTAAAGAATGAGTAATCTTTGCTCAAGATTTATGGCTCTTTTAACTTCTCCTCCTCTCCCCCCTGAAGAAATTGCATTTTTAGTTCCTTTCATTAATTTAACCAAAATCTACGGTTTTAAAAAGGCAATCAGGAGAACAGTGCTCGAACTAAAACAAAGCAGCTTATTGAGAAGCTAAAATCCACCGAAGCGGAGAATATCAGACAATAACTACAGAAACACTACGCAGATGTAAACAGACCATTAAGCTGTGCTGATCTCAGGGTTTACAGTTTGTGAAACAAATGACAAAAGGCCTGCTTATTGCTCTGAGACGGTAAATACTGTGAACAAAGAGTTGGTGTTCAATCGCTGTCAAAAGTCATTGCACAATCATGCATTAAATGACCTCAGACACCAAAGGAAACAAATCATTACGGCCTCTGAGTGACAACGTGTGGGACATAACTTACTTTTCCCGAGGGACTCGTGGCGAAAAGTAACTGCTGTCAATCATAAAGCATTATGGCTGCGCAAAGTTAAGTTGTTTCAACAGCCAATAAGCAACACTTGTGACTTTTATTTTAACATGACAAATTGAGTTTTGGGGATTGACATTTTGATGATTGCAAACAACTTCCAATTGCAGCTCTGAGAAGTCTATTCAAATCGCTGGTTCAATTAGTAGAAGAAGAAAAAAAAAAAAAGAGACCTGGAGGGACCAGTCCAGGCAGGTGACAACGCGATGCTTGGACCAGCGCTCATCCAAGAACTGCCTGTTGACAGAGAGCTTTGTTCCGGCCTGGATTTCACTGGTGAAAACAAAAGCACCACAAATCAATACGAACACTCCTTCGATACCAATTAGGCGTGTTCTTTTCTCTCCGAACAGACTGGTCGCTGTATTGCTACCCCTCCTTCTCCTCCAGGTCGCGCCCGCTGTAGTCGAAGAAGAGGTCCACGTGCTCCGACAGGGCCCGCTCAACAATGCGAGTGGTGTGGTCGAAGAAGTTCACAAACTCTTCCGAGTGCAAGATCTGGAGTTTTTCCTCCTCGGTCAGCTCGTGGGGGGGCGCTGCAAAGGACAAATGCAAACGGAAATGTGAAAACGCTGCTGCAACAAAAACAGAAGAAGCAAAGTGGCTGCATTTGTAATGTAGGTCTGCATCATCAGTGGTAGTAAGGTACCTTCCTCCTCCACTTTTTGGTCCGGTTTCTCAGTCTGAGTCTCCAATACCGGCTGAGGTGGAGCACTTTCTTCCTCTTCTTCTTCCTCTGTGGATCAGAAAGTGGATGTTAAATGTTTACATGTTAAACAATGGGGAATACGGTTTGGTTGCATACAACAGGTCTCGGAAACAACATATTCCTACGTATTTTTTTTCAAATACAGTTTGCCTAAACCTCAAATGTAAATTGGGAATAGAATTTAAATCCAAGCAGCCGCTTTCAGACGAGGAGCAATAAAACGCCTGTATAAACGTTTTGCACCTTTTGGTCACCACGTCTTTCACCTCCATTATTTCCTTTTTTCAATAAACGCTCCACCCAGTGATTATGGAGACAGCGAGGGACTGATTTTGTATCTCTGCCTTACATTTGTTTGGTTTGTCAGCACAATGTCGCCTTTCAAAGACGGACCTGCTCCTCTTAAAAGCAGGGAAGTTTGTCATTTGTGCTGAAGGGACACAGCGCAGCGGGTGTCTTGTTGTCATAGGGACCCCTGTCTTTTCCAACTGTTAATGAGACTCTGGCCATTCAATGGGAATGTCTAGCTGTCAGTGTAGCCGTTTCCTCTGTGTCCCAGTGGCAGGTTGCCCCCTTCTAGGCCACGGGGCAGCGGGGTGGAGCAGCTGCCCGGCGGCCCCGTCCCATTGGTCCGACCAGATGACGGCAGGGTGCGAAAGCAGATGGTGATGCCGGGGGATTGTCTCCTGCTCTTCAGAGGTGGCATGGGGATGGCACAGAGGTTTTTTTTTCCGCCTGGCCGCCCCGAGACAAGCTTCTCCCTGAACAGCAAGCCTGTGCAATTACCATCCTGGCAGGAGGTCCTGCGACTCCTATTCAACCTCAGAGAATGCACCGCAAAATACGGGGCGGACCAGCTGGCGAACTGCACACCGGTTCTACCTCAAAAGGAGACAAACGCACTTTTTCAAGAACACATCTCCTGGAGACAGTACAGAGCCTGTGCTTTCAATGCAAAAAAAAAAAAAAGAATAGCAAAAGCAGGACAAAACAGATTCATGAGGAGACAGGAAACACTCGCCTGGTTCCTACCAGCATTCATCTGGGTCTACGCCTGATGGTTAATCTAAGACGACAGCACCGCGTGCCAGAATTTCCTTCCTACGGCGATAATCTAAATGATAATGTCATCTGTCACTTTGTCTATAAAGTGATTCATCCCCTTTTTCCTCAGACGGAGGTTTGGGGGAAGAAGGCTATCGGGTATACTGATGAGTTTACCGAACCGGGTTGATGACACGAGCCATTTCCATGTACGGGCCAGAGCCGGCAACCAACAGGAGAAGGTTAAAATCGTTCCCTTCGAGGGCCTCAATCAGGCTTAGAGGAAAACAGTAATCACCGCCTTTCAGCTTAGTCCCGGCCGCGCTCGTCAGCCCTTTCCCTGGCGAGGCAGCCAGAGCAATCAACCTGCCCGGCATTAGGAGCGGATAGACAATCTGAAAATAAAGGGTATAATGCACCTGCCAGACAAAATGGCCATTTGGAGAAAAGCTAGTGATCCTGCTGACCCCGCTGGGGGGAGCGGGGGGACGCGGGGGGGTAGTAAGGCTGATGGGTTGTGGAGGAAGGCTGAGGGATGGGAGGCGGGGGCGGGGGGTTGCATTTAACAGAATTCACCCAGATCACCGATGTCCCATACACTGACACCTTCTCTCAAAGCAGGCGCAATGATGGCTTTTGTACCACTTAAGAAATAAAAGCTTTTTTCTGGAGGGGGAGGAGTCAGATCGACAGGGGGGGGGGGGTCCTAGTCCATGGACAACATATTAATGCAAACACGGTAGGCACCCAGCGATGTACTGGTTCCTCTGCAGGTGTTTTCCACTTTCTATATGTCCCTATATACACCCACAGACAAAACACACACACACACACACACACACACACACACACACACACACACACTATCACTTCTTGTTCCCAGGAATAAGTAACTCCAACCACAGCTTGCAAAAGGCATTTCAGAGATCCAACCATCAACCTTTTTGGTTGTGTGCAGCCGTGTTGTGCATTTGGCTGCAAGGCAAAGAAAAAACAGACCGCTGTCAATCCGATAACACCATTCAAGACTTGGTCATCTGTGAAACAGGAGAGTATTGTTTTCAACTTCTGCATCATGGTTACCCATCTCTGACGAGAAAACCAGCGCTCTCCTCCTGCGGAAAAGTGTCAATCACAGATCAAATACCAAGGTTGTAAAGGTACTCAAACTATACAAAATGGAGGAAACACTATATTTTCCATTTAAATGATCAGCTACCGCGTGGCAGAGGGATACAATAGATATTTAACAGTTTTAATCTTCAAGTGCATAAGAGCTGACCACATTTACAAGTGACACTTCAAACTAAAAAGGCCATCAAGGGCTTTTTGTGCTAAAAAGTTTTGACCTGCCTTTTAATTTAGAGTGATTAAAATAAATCACATTCAATTACATTTTAGATGTACTAGGCTGCTCTGCATACTCCTAATCCTGACCCTCCCAACCTCACACAATATCTTATTCCATAATTACAGCCCATTGTTGAAGAATGCATGCTGATGCTGCGCATTACCTACTAGTGCATTCGGAGTGTACCACATTCACCAATCTGATGGATTAAATCAACATATTTCCTGAGGACACTCAAGGCTTAAAAAAAATGTTTGCATGCTTTCCCATGGTCACAAACTTGGCAAATAGAAATGAATGAATTAACAGTCAGAGATGTGCGAGGAGATTTCCGCATTAATAACAAACAAACCGTGTAACCCGCTGATGCCTTCTCCTTGACTGCTCAGAGATTCTTTTTTCCTCCTTCTCTTTGGGTCAACATGGCAGGTGACATCAAATCTGAAATCTTTTCCTCCTTCCCCCCCCCGAGATGCCTCGCACACCCTGTGGGGGACCCTCGGCCTGCAGCGGACCCTCTAATGCCACCGCCTGCTGACCTTGAGAGTGTGCCGCCGTTGCCTCCTTTTGACAACACCATAAATTGCTCAATCAGAGAACAGGCCCGACGCCACCCCACACATCAGAAATGCACCATGGGGAGCAGGCTGTGAAGGGGATGCCGTCTCATAGAGTGCCAGAAGTGATGGTGTGAAAATGCACAATGTCACTGAGTGTGTTTTGTTATGTGCCTGTTCGGTGAAGGGAGAAGACAGGGAAGCGAGGGAGTTGATGAAATGATTACATAGTGGCAGAGAGGGGGGAAAGGGGGCCTTGTGTTGAACAGCTGGCAGAAAGCACCGTTGTTTAACACAGTCTTGCAATGCTCAGTAGAGTTCAGAGTAAAGAGCAACGAGGAAGAGAGGGGATGCTCCTTCATCCTTCAATAGCTCTGCTCATTGTTTTCACACAAAATCACACAATTCCATCCCGCTCGCCACCCCCCGATTTACTGCACATCACCCAAGGGGGACGGCAATCAACAAGTCTGTACGCGGTTTAAAAATCTGATGCTTAAAAAGACGTGTTAGCTGATGCGAATAGATTGAAGAAATGGCTAAAAAAGACAGCCACGGGCCCAGAGTTGTAGTTAGGAGTTTTTGTAGAATGATTTGCATGCTTCTTAAAAAAAATCCAAGAAGAACTAATTAGGATTTCAGTCGTGCAGATTATTCGCCATCTGTCGTTACATAAATCAACCACGGACACGCAGCATGCCCACAAGTCTTGCATATTTTATGGAGCATGTGTTCAACATGTGGTGTTGGTAGCAGCACAAATATGTTCTTGCAGACGGCATGAACGATTCAGTGCTGCAAGTACATGCACATCTACATGCTTCAGAGGCAGTAATATGTGCCTCATATCTTTCCCCTAAATCGCATTTCTCCTTCCTGTCACTGGTTGTCTCATCCTGCCCATTAATTATACCAAAGCGCAGTTGGTTGTGAGGTCAGCGGCTAGACTGGATTCAATCTTTCATCTCAAATAAAATCCCCTTCACTTGTTATTCACTTCCGGCTCCCACTTGTTCACTCACGCAGCCTGCGACCCCCATAATCCATAATTGCGCTGCACAGTTCTTGCAGCAGAGCAAAACTTTTTTGAGCAAAGACGCGACACACCTCAATTGAGCACAACATTCTTTACTGCATCCACATATTTGATTCATCTTTTGTCCATTTCTCACATAATAATATCAGAGAATCACCTTCTTTTTGCTGAGTCACGACAGGTGTCTGGGTTTCTTTGGTGTAGGACACAGTCTCACGGGGAGGGAAGTCCACTTGTGTGATTTTGGCCATTCCGAGCTTCGGAGTTCCACGCCTAAAAGCACAGAACAACTCAAACTTTGCACAGGTCAACGTCACCAGGAAAAGTAATGATTTTACTTGGTAAAAAAAACAAACATACAAAACAGACATTCTGCTATCATCCTCATCTGGTTTTGTAATATTTGTCACCTCCTTACAAGTGAAAGTAAGTTAGTAAATGAGTGCTTTGTGGGATGGCAACAACTTCCGATCAAATTAATTACAAAGGTTTTGTCGGCCCATCCTTGAGTGACTTGAAGGTTTGGACTCCTTTGACCAAGTAATGACTTTGGAAGACACAGTCGTCATGCCATAGATTGAGAGAAGGGGAAATGACCAGAAAAGGAGAGAAGAGAGTGTCCAGTACCCCGGCTCAGAATCAGAGTGAAGTTGGAGAGTGGACGGGTCAGAGTCCCAGTGCAGAGTCCTGGTTAGTGTCACAGCAACAAGGCAGCATTAGTGAGAGAGAGAGAGCACACATGTGGAGAGGAAATATTATTAGCATTATGGCACACAACATGCTGATCGGATCCTAGGTCACAAATCTCATACATCTCCGTCTTATCAAAACAAACCTAAAACCGGACCTTTGTTTTGTGTTTTTCTCGGATCTGCCTGAACACCACTCAGATATGGAAGTGCATATCTGCTTAGAATGCATGGACACACCGCCTCTCAGAGGGAGATGCCACAGGGTGTAATGTGCGTCCTGCAGGGCTTATACAACCTTAACAGTGTCACACCAAAGGCTGAGAGTGTTGCGCTGACAGAGAAGCAGAGAGAGAGAGAGAGAGAGAGAGAGAGAGAGAGAGAGAGAGAGAGAGAACCCTGAGGGAGAAAACATGACCTCCATGTGTGTAGGAAATGGCAATGCTGGCGAGGGAAATGAGTCAACACGTAGGGGGAACAGCTCCCTGGGCCTGATGGGACACTGGGGGGAGCTTGAATTTCAGCCCAGGGAAGGGGGTATAATTAGGGGTTAAAAAGTCCCCCAGGCATCACAACAGCCTGCTGTTTTATTGTTAATTTAGGATCGTTCTTAATTCAATGGCACACAGATTACATTAACATGCTCTCCGTTAGCATAAACTTGACATTATTCACAGCAATGGTACGGGACTTTCCAAAAGGATTTTAGATGTGCTTTGTGCAATGCTTAAGATATATTTCTCGCCTTTTTTCCCAGGGTTAAAAGTGATGAAGCCATTTAGGATGAATGAGCACAAACCTTTCTGGAAAGACATACAAAGCTCAACAAGGCATTTAAATATTTGGCATCAAGTGGATACATAGTCGTAAATAAGCATATTGACATTGTACCACACTTGTAATGTGCTAGCTGGGAAAAAATGTTGTTATTCAATCGGTTCCTGAGGAGAGAGTGTGAGTGTGTGTGTGTGTGTGTGTGTGCGTGCGTACCTGGGTCCCACGGCACCGTCAGAGTCTTGGCTCCCGGCCTCACTTGGTGTACCCGCTGATTTGGTCGTTGGAGAGATCGGAGGAGGGACTACATAGCGAGACAGACAATATTTCATCTGTTACAGTGGGAAGACAGTAACAACAAAGCACGGACAGAACCCACGCTGAATGATATTAATCCCACGGTAGATTTTATGACGCTGCATGTTACGTGTGTAAAGCCTTTATATTAGTAGCAAAACAAGTTAAATTAGGATTAGCACATATTCGTAAAGATGTTTCACTACCACAATTACACTGACTTTGTCTTCATCAATGTGTTTTTTTTCATTTGTGTTTTGTTGTTTTTCAGCCTCCTGAGAGAATTAGGATTTTCTCGTGGATCTCTTCTGCCACCTGCTGATGATAAAGCGTCAGTGCCCTAAAAGTCCCTCGGAACTCTGGGAAGCCTCGCTACAAGTTTGTTTTGTCATTTTGACAATGGTTACATCATTTAAAAGCAAATATCACACTAGTGTTCATGTACAACTTACCAACAGGGGCATCTGCGGTTATGCCCATACTCTGTAGAATAGCCTCAGCCTCGCGTCTTTTTTTCTCCAGGTCAGAATCATCTTGGTGATGTGCGGCTTCTTTCAATTGGTCTGCCTGAAATCAGAGCAACATCGTTCATTCATTACATTTCTAAATACCCACAATACATTGGTCCGATCTCAGACAACAAACTGTACACAACTTAGAAGAAAATAGATTTTTGGAAAAAGAAGCCGCCTAAAGGCTGGACTTAATTTGAGGCCTGTGAATGAATGAAAGTCTGGGTTTTCACCAAAGAAATCTACCCTGAAGATTATTACGTTTTTATTAAGATTTTTAGACTTTAGTTTGACATCTTAGATCATCAATAAATAAAACATGTATGGAAGTATGAACAGCACAAATGTAAAATCCTTGATGACATAATTATGAAAAAGAGATAAGTAAACAAACATTCTCAAAATGCACATATCCTGGGTACTTAAAAAAAATTAATGTCTCAGCTATTTCTGTGATCAAATATAAACTAACTTAACTAACAGGAAATAAATATTTGTCATTTAGGATTTATTGCACCATCTGGACTACTGGAACTCAAAAACAAAATTGGTAGAATTTCAGCTAATTATTTTTGCGATGCTCACTGTCCTCACGGCTGTTTTTATTCAATATAAGAGATCACTAAAAGCATTTACAAGATGTTACACATACCGCTTGTTTCTTCCGCTCCTCCTCCTTCCTTTTCTTCTCCTCCCGGATTTGTGCCAGGCGTTGTTTCTTCCTTTCAAGCTCTGCTTTCAGCTCACTTTTGTCCGACATGATGCCTCAGCTCTGTTCAAATAACATATTTTCTTTGCCTTTGTGTTCCGTTTAGAATACATTGGAAAATATTGCATTTTAGGTCAAAAATATAAAACAAAACCCAAGCATCAATGGCGTCCTTGTGGTGGAGTAGCCTCATTTTATAAGCACTGTCAACTGACGAATGAAGTCTTTAAAATTGTAATAAAAGTTAGATATCGTCTTGCTGTTGATGCTCTCAGCTTCAGCACCACCTTGCACAGCAAAGCTAATTAGCTGACCGACCTGAGCTAATGCTAGCTGTCAAAGTATCGTCCAGTGGGGTTTTCCGTCCTCTCTGCAGCTGAGTGAGTTAAACTCTTTGGACACAAATGCTTCCAGTGGAATTAAACTGGATTAAAACAACACCCCGGCTGACCAGTCATTGTCAGCTCGACCGCGGAGAGCCGCACCCTACCGGTTGGTACAACCGTTAGCACTCAGTTAGCTTAGCATCGGGTTATCCTGTCAGTCTTTTAATTCGCTTAAACCGAGCTATTATTCGCTTGAAGTATACTCGTTCAAACAAGCCTGTTCTACTTTGATATAGAGCTCAATTTTACTAATCGCACCGGTTTCTTACGAAGCATCCAACGTTCGCATCCGCCTGGCCTCTGCCGCTGCTAGCCTTCCTTATACTCACAGGCTACAGAGCTAGCACAGCGATGCTTCTTGTACAACATGTAACGTACTTACTTATTGAACCATGCGCAGTTTCATATTTTTGGTTCGCATCAGAGGAAATTGTGTTGCTACCACAAAACACTAAACCAAACCACCCTTTATTGTTGACTTTAGATCGAGGGTGCTCGCTTTATTGTTAGCGGCTAGCTAACGTTACACCAGTTTAACGTCAACCCCGGACCGCAGTGCCGTCATACGCTTTAAACTCTGCTGACTGTCCGGTGAAGAAACAAGTTGGTATGCAAATACAGCGACGAATATAAGAAGACATGTCACGACTGTGTGACACTACAAACAGTTAGACATTGATGTCTAGATTACAAACCTTGAAGCAGGTTTTCGACCCGACACCAAATGACTACAAACAGCCAAAACAAACGCGCTGCCGATACAAATACAGGCGCCGAGAGGAGCCAAAAAGGAGCGCTTCGCTTTGACGTGGCTGCGCGGTCACAGGTGAAATATAGAGAATAACGTTGAGCGTCGTGTGCTTAATGTTTAAGCAGAGATGGGTAAAAAACATCAGAATGTATTTTGATTTAAAAAAAATACCCCTCAAATAAAATTGGATGGGTATTCCAAAATACTGCGGCCAGAAAATGTAACAAAATATGATACAATACAAAAATATAGAATTAAAACCAGTTAAAGACCTGTTTACAACTGGTTTTAAAGCGACATGTTGCCTACCTGGCCAACTTTACAATGCATGAAATAATAAAACGAATACTAAAATAAAGAACACTTTCATAATATGCCTTTTAAATAAAATGAATTGGATATTTGATGTTTTTTAAATGTTTTTAACAAATGGACATTTACTGTCATAGCCCGCTATCATGTGCATCATGTCATGCATCATGTCATGCAGATCATGTAACTAACGTTACATGATCTGCAAGAGTAAGATGGTCAGACGTCTCTTGATACGGTTATGATGAACATACAAGCTCCCAATCTCCCTCTTCCTATAGCTGGCTACTCGAGTGATGAATTAAATTGCTAAACCTAGTCATAGCCTAGACAGCAGTCTCATTAGCATGTTAGCTTGAAACCAACACTCACCATGCACATACAATAGGCTACCCAGACATCAATTATACATCAACCTAGTTGACATGAGATAAAATATTTACCTTGACAGACAATCTGTTGAACTTTAAGATCTGAAGACTGAACTTGTGTAGATTTTTGATTGGTGGAGAAAGTATTTTGAGTATTTTAAATACAAAATTACCCCACTAAAGTATTTTGTAACACATGAAGTTTGATTTTTTTTTCGGCCCTTTCAAATACAAATGACAAAATACTCTGAAGTAATTGAAATACGTATTTCAAATACAAGTAATGGAAATAGTGCCCACCTCTGTGTATAAGTGGCTCATTTTGTGACTGGATGGAAAAATACTACTTTTGCCAACCTTTTGCAGACTAGCCTCTGTTTTTGGCCTCTGCTCCGAAAATGGCACACCCATGATAAAAAGTGAAATACAAAACTCTGTAATTACTTTGTCTATGTGTACAATTTCTTTTCATGGGGGTAAGTGCTGTAATGTGTGACAATCAGTTTATATGTTACTGTTGAAAAAACAGTCAATATTATGGCACTGGTTCTGACCTGGTTCTGGCTTGTTTGGGCCCCAATTGGGATCTGCTAGTCTCCGAAGGGTTTTAAGAAGTAAACGGAAAGCGCAGTGGTGATTAATGTATTCATAAGAACGGGAACAAAGAAAATATATTTATTGTAAAAGATGTGGTGTGAAAAAATCCAAGACCCAGATATGACAATGCAAAGGACTTAGGAGTATTCAAACAACCTAAATATTTGCAGCGTATGTCAACAAAGAGAATTGCCACATCACTTGAATCTTATTATGAAGTAATTAAGAAGTACATGAATCTTATTATGAAGTAATTAAGAAGTATTTGCATTTGCTTACAATAGATTTAGAAGAAAAACCAATACAAGGGGAAACTAATACAAACAAAATCCAATACATACTTCAAACTGCACATGATAAAGTCATATAAAGAATAATCAGCATGAATAATTGGCCTAATTTTTACCTCCTCTGACTAATGTAGATTGTGAGAGAGCTTGGTACAGTATGGTACAGTATGGTTATCATGCAGTATGGTTATCATGCTCATGCTTCTTAATTTAAATTCCTTCTTATCCTTTATTTTTAAATTGTCTATTGTATATCCCCCTAGCCCATAGCCTTATATGTTATTCCGTAGAGTTAAATTGTAAGTTTGTAAATTGAACATGCCATTTTCTTGAACTATGTGATCTTATCTGTCTTGTTGTCCATTGTCTTACTGTCTGTTGTTATGCACCTACACAGCAAAATTATTAAAGTTAATTTTTCAGAGTTGCATTTGAAATCACACTGCAAAATGTTGATTCAACTGTTACAGAGTCGATTGTACGAAAGAGCTGGAGTCATTATCCAGTGTCAAGGACTTGGGTTTTTAACTCTACATAGTGTATTTATTTGGTATTTAACACTGATCAGATTTATTTGCGACACTTAGTAGAGTTACATTAACTTTCAAATAGGTTTGAAATGTAACTGTACACTAGTGTCTCTGGGTTGGGTTTAACTCTACGTAGAGTGTATTTAACACTGAGCAGATATATTTTTGATATTTCTGAGTTAAATTGTTAACACTTTGTTGAGTGTTGATTTAACACTGACAAGATTGGGACAACATAAACACCAGCTTAGGATTCAAATTGAATCTCACAGAGTCAATTTAACTCTCTGAAGTTTGCTGTGTACCGCCATGTCAAATGTCTCGTATGTCTAATATATTTTGGCAATAAATGTTCCTGATTCCTGAGTACACACATATGAGACTGGAGACACTCTTGACTCTGAGCCTGTCCTGATGTAATCAGGGATTGCCGCTCCTCCTCCTGACATCCCCACACGGCTCCCCATCAGCTCCACGAGATAGCTCAGACATGGCTGGACTCACTTTGCTGTTTTCGACCCCTTCCCCTTCGGTATGCAGAGTATGCAGGACCTGGTCACTGGGGCGTTTCCAAGCAGTTCGAGTGGCAATCCAGAGGACAAGAGCTCCAAAAACCACCAAGAGGACCCCCAGAACATTCACAAAAATAGCCTCTGGGGGAGAGTCCTTGTACTGTGGACTATCCCTTGGTGGTGAGGATGAAAAAAAAATTAAAAAGTTACACATGTTCTGAAGTACCACATTAACTTAATTTACCAACTATATAATACTTTTAAAATACTTACAGGCCCAAAAGGAGTTCCTCTGTGATGCCCATGAGTGATACAGCTATTACACTGGCAAAGAGTAAAAGGCCAGAGAAGACATGTAGGGGCATAAACGCTGCTCGCCAGGATGCAGGTGTAACTGGTATCAAGTAGATGCCAACTCCAAGAACAAGCTGCCCATTGAAGGAGAAAGAAAATCCACTCAGTATTGTACCAAACCAGAATGCTGTGCACTATAACTTGGCATTTAAAGAGGAGTAAGTGAAGGACACTAGCTAACAAGAACTTAACATGGACCCAAGCTGTTGTCAAAGCATTGTTTTGAACCAGTCCATTGTCCCAAAACATATTATTAAAGATGGTGGGCTAAAAGCAGTGGCGGCTGGTCCATAGAGGGCCATGGCGTGTGGCGACATAAAAAAAGAAAATATTTATTTCTTATATTAAAAATACATTTTAGAAAGAGTACATTTTTGTGTTTTTGAAACAGAGAATATTACTCAGTAATATTTGTAAGATATCTATCCAAAATATATTGTTTTCCTGCATGTCCTTTCCGCCTGTCTGCATGTCTCAGCTGGGCTCGGGCCAGGTCCCAAAAGGAGGGTCTAAGAAGCAGTTCAGCCAATCACTGATAAAGATAAAATGAGTGACATATAGTTCAGTTTTAGCATCCTAAAATACATTCAGCTTTGAGCCAGCCCTTCACCAGCCCTTCGCTGCGCTCTCTCAGGGCGAGTCTTGTGACGCGTCACATACAAAGCTTCTGTAGAGACTGTAGAGACTACACCCGGGATGTTTACCAAAGCTAGTTAGCTTCCCATGCTCACCTTTTAAATCAATGAATCCAGTATGAACAGATAAGGGAGAAAGGGACATGAAGGACTTGTCATAAAAAAACGAAATTACAGAGAACACCAGGACACACACGGAAAATGCCACCTAGTCCTAGTATACAGGGCCGTTTGAAGGAATTTGGGGGCCCCAAGCAAAATGGACATGGAGGCCCCCCCAAGCCCCCGCCGCGCGCAAACCTACAGGAACCACAGCACAGCCATAAAGTTTAAGTGTTCACCCACACTTTATATAAATAAAGCATCCCCCCCCCCGCCCAGTGAGGGGGCCCCTTGAGGGGGGATCCCGATAATGCCCCCTGGCCAGCTCGGGGCCCCAAGCAATTGCTTGGTTTGCCTGTCCTGTCGCGACGGGCCTGCTAGTGTAGACGCACACCATGAAATAACGTGCGTGCTTGACCGTGTTTTCGGAAGTGCAGGCTGGATGAGGACACACAACCAGGACGTGTATAAAAACAGACATTTTATCCAAAATAATTCATTGTGTGTAATTCAAGTTTTGTGGGGCTTTTGAGTTTGTCTTTCCTCAACACACTGATTATAAAATATTTGTCCCTATTATATGAAACCCTTGATATTTTATATTTATAATAGTCATGATATGTTAGTTATATCACATACTGTATTGTATATATATATATATATAATTAATATACTGAATTGTTTGCATAAAATGTCCGTATTATGTTAAACTGTTTGCCGTTAAATATTAAACATTTATTCAAAGTAATAATGCATGTATGATGGCTTTTTTTGCATTGAATCATACTGTGATGTTTACTGAAATTGATTGGCTAACCCTACTAAGAAGGAATTTCACCAGCCGCCACTGGCTAAAAGTACACTTATCAGTTCTGCAAAACACAAACAGGGACCTTTGATTGCCATCACATTATTTAAAATTTTTAAAAATGGAGTGTACTTACCTGCAGACAGAACAGTGTCAAAGCTACCAGGCCCAACCAGCTGTGCAAGCTGTACATGTTGGGGATTTCGGCAGCATTGTGGAAATCAAAAACGGCCACCATAGCGATGACAGCGAAGATGAAGGCGAGTAGGTGCAAGCCGGCGTGAATAAACTTCATCGTCAGTTTGCTGAACTTCCAAGTCCAGGGGATTCTGTAGACAACGATGGCTGCGAGAAAAGAGCCAGTCAGACTATATGTTTTACTATTATTTATTTGCATAACACTAAACACAGTTTCACTTAAAAAGTAGGCATCTGCCATTACATAGTTCGAGAGAGAGGTCATGTAAGACAGGAACTGTGAAAGCAGCAGTTAGTAGTAGTAAACACTATAAGAAGCTGCTGCTGTCAGTATGTCATTTACTTTTTAAGTACATGCTTAAACAGGTGGATTTTTTTTAGGAAGGCTAGATACTAAGCCGTGTTGTCAGATGAAACTTATAATTTTACACAAACCTCCTAATTTATGGTTTCTACACTGTAAGACGCAGCAACCTCATGCCCCCGTGCACCTGTTACATCTCTCCAACACAACGCCCAGATCGTTTTCTCCAGCAACAATAGAGAAAAGACTCACCTAAACCCTGGAGGAAAATATATCCGCTGACTACCAACACGGGATGCCAGTTGAACTCCGCCATTCCTCCGTCCCAGGCGACCCCTTCTCCGTAGTGACTCACCCACACCGCCACGAACACTATGGACGCGACCCCGAAGAAGAGGGCGGCGGACAGAGACACGACGAAGTGTCTGAAGTTCTCCATCGCAGCAGGACGACCTGAACCGGGAGCAGCTCAAAAAAAACTTGCCGACTCCTTCGAGAGGAGGCAGTGGAGGAGGGAGCTCGGTCTGTGACCACGTGGGAGCGGCGCAATTGTTGGAAGGAAACCGGTTTGGCTGCACCTTTCTAGGATTCAGCCTTCGCGGTACACACCTGGGCTGTGTCTCCCATCAACCGCAGGGGCTGAAGCCTGCGGCCCCTGAAATGGGACGATCTGTCCCTCCTGAGGTACCGCATGTGTCATCCGCTCTACCTCTGCTGTTCCCGTTGCCTAGCAACCAGTAAACGCCTTAAAACCCTAAAAACTAAAGCACACATAGGTAAGATAATCTTCTTCTCATTTCAGTTAATTCAGGAAGGTATGTCTCACCGTTTCCTGGTTATTTTACATTTAAAATAAATCAGTTAAATGGTCTGTACTTGTATTGTGCTTTTCTGACATGTCATCATTCACCTCCATTCATACGGTGATGACAGGAGCTACCACACACAGTGCCACCTGCCCATCAGTAACTAACATTCACAGACTGTAGTCACAGCTACAGGAGTTGGGGTTAAGTGTCTTGCCCAAAGAGACATGGACATGCAGGTTAACAGGGCCTGATCCAACTGCCAATCCTCCGATTGGAGGACTATCGTGCTCCCTCAGCCACAGCCGCCCCACAAGCCATGCACTTTCAGCTAAAAGTATTACTGCAATCTTACGGTAGAGGAAATCAATTAATACAGTCAATACAAGTCACAACAGCAAACACTTCTATTAATTTTTCTTGCATGATATGAGCTATTTTAACTGTAACCTTAAGATATTACAGAGTCTGTCCAAGATACAGTAGCTGAATGACACCACACATATCACACATGTAAAGTTAAATAAGGACGGAGGTGACTAAGAACTCGCTTCTTATGTGTATTTAAAAACACGACATCTTTTACGTACGCCACGTAACTTAAGATGGGATGTTATATAAAGTGACCATTGTGCACTGACCTATATGTTCAGCTAAGGGACACAAAACACAACTGCTGAACTGTTGGAACTTGTCCCCCATTAAACTTTTGCTGACATGCATATGGGTAATTCATCTTCCTGCTTTGCCAAAAAGGCTTGTCACGGACTACACTGTAACAAATTGCTGTAAATTTACCTTGCACTTCGAACGGTATCTTACAGTATGTCATAATAACTGTAACATACAGTTAAATTTCCATCCCTTGCTTGTAAATTAACGGCCAATGTCATGAATAAACAGTTAAAGCTGTCAATTTACGATAATAGTAGACTACCGTAATTCAACTGCATGTTATATATATTTTATGAAGTGGTCAAAATACACATACAAGTGCAGTGAATCACAATCCATCTACATCTTTAGTAGGTTAATGTATGGAAGCCCATGTCAGCTGCTGAAAAACAGGTCCTGTAAGTCATCATAATGAGATATGAGTATCTCATGAGATACGATGATGACTTTGACTTTGTCCATTGTCTTATTGTCCAATATTATGCACCAACCGGCATGTCAAATTCTTTCTATGTCTTACATTAATGTTCTTGATTCCCTTCCATGTAAATTAGATGGTCAATTGACTAAACATTAATTTCAAGAACTACCCGGTCAATTTGTTGGGTAGAGATCTTGTGTGCTGTTTTGGGATAATTCTTCACTCCGACTCGGAGGGAGTGAAGGTTTTGGTACGAAGCGATCCAGACTAACCATTAACAATGCAGATGGTTAAATATAGCCCATTGGAATTGCTATGAATGGCAGCGTGTCGAGGCAGTGGTTGCGATATCACGCCGCATTGTTGGAAATGCCCAACGTCACAGTAAACATGACGGTGCAGATTCTGGAGGAGGAGTGCTCGCCGAGGGTTGATCTTTCAGATACACCTCTCCCCCAAACGCTGACCTCGACTTGTTATTGTAGATGGTTCTGCATCAAGAGATAAGACGGGAGGCAATCAAACAGGTTTTGTAAAGTGACAGAGAGACACCTTTTACTTTCAAAAACAATATTAGTATCCTTGTTAGTTGTAAATTTGATTAATTTCCTCTATCATCATCAAAGTCAAAGGTCACATTTATCCTGAATACACTGTGATGTCCTTAATATAGCAGCAACCAACAGGCCCATGGTAACTCTGGAGGAGCTGCAAAGATCCACAGCTGAGGGTGGAGAATCTGTCCACAGGACAACTATTAGCCATGTACTCCACAAATTTGGCCTTAATGGAAGAGTGGCAAGAAGAAAGCTGCTCTTGAACCATAAGAAATTCCGTTTGGAGTTTGCCGCAAGCCATGTGTGAGACACGGCAAACATGTGGAAAAAAGTACTCTGGTCAGATGAGACCAAAATGTAACTTTTTGGCACCAATTTCAAAGTAGTAACAAATCTGAAGGCAATAAAACTATTGATTAAGAATTAATTTTCTTTGGAACACAGCATTTGACCAATTTTAGATCTTCAGACTTCCTCGGTTTAACCATTCAATTCAGGATTGAAGTGTGACAGATAATGATGTAGGTTGATGATTATTATATCTAACATTATGTATTACATTATGATCAACAAATGTGGATTAAGTCCTTGTGAAAAATAGAAAACATTTTCCCCACACGTATTCTGCCACCTACTGGTGAGATGTAAAGATGTTTCTCTGCATCTCCTTAAACTGCCTCTGCTCTGCTTGCATTGATTTTAATGTGAAAAGTTACGTAAAGCTTCGTATTTTTGTATTATAGGCAAAAATCAAAAAAATTTACAAAAGTAAGATTCTGCCGTTTTTCTTGTTTTTTGGTTATATTCAAAGCTCAAATCAAAACCCACTTCTTTAGAACCCGTTTAATGTGTGATTGTGTGCTCTATTTTTATTGTTCCCTTAAGACGATTTTAAATGTTTGTGAGTCTTTGGGTATTATTAAAAACGATTATGATTATTATTATATGATTATTATTTTTTGGGCCAGAAGACCATTCAATCTTCCATACTCGTCCTCATTTTGGAACTATAGCTGATGCAAGGAAATTCCTGCATAAAAAATAATGTATAATAACAGTTTGGATTATTTGAAATGTTAATTTATTATCACATTAGCATTTAATTATCACGGCAAGTGTCAATGCAAGGTGAAAATAACAAAGTCAGGAAATGAACAAATCACTTCTGTTTCCTTGACTGAGCCTATGCAACAGTCCCAATGCGCGGCCACGAGGAAATGAACGAGTCCTTAAGAGGACTCGTTACTCCCGAGTAACATCTACTATGCGCGCCACACGGTCTGAAGAGGACCACCACTGTTGCCCTAACAGACAGTGATTGGCATAAGGAGTGAGAATGGTTTGCAATACTATTGTTGATAGTTATTGATAGTTACCATTTACGTTTTGTAATTGTGAGATCTCACAGCTTTTCTACCAGACTGCAGCCTCTGGGTTTTGGCCGGAGTGAAGGTCGCTACCACTTTGATTTTGGCAGTTTTGAGTTTCAATTATTTTTAAATTAATGTTATTTGGGCATTTTTAACAGTGTGCTTTCTACAATTTCACTGTAACATTTTGGTTTGTCTTATTGTAATGTAGATTATAAAAAAATGTAACATATATGATATTATATAGTGTTTTTTTATGTTATTTCATTTGTTCGTTCGTGGTTGCAAGATTTTTAATAACTTGCACAAAATAAAATGAGTATACAACTTTCTTTATTTGGCTTGGCTGATTTTCGCTTAACTTTTCTATCACCTAAAAACGTAATCTTGACTGTCTTTCAACTGTTTCTGTGACATGAATATATTCAACCCAATTCGGAAACAGACTCGGCCCGACGTGTCTGGGCTAGCAAATATCATTGTAAAATATAGTTGCTGTGCAAAAATCTAGATACAATACAAAACATTCTAAATATTTGCATTGTATGTCAATAAAGAGAATTGTCACATTATATTAATCATATTATGAAGTAATTCAGAAATATTTGCATGTGCCTACTGTATATTTCACAGAAAAATAATACAAACAAAATCAAACACATACTCCAAGCAGTACATGATAAAGTTGTATAAAGAATAATCAGCATAAGTAGTTTACCAAACGTTTACCTCCTCTGACTAATGTAGATTACTTGACTCTGAGCCTGTCCTGATGTAATCAGTGATTGCCGCTCCTCTTCCTGACATCCCCACACGGCTCCCCGTCAGCTCCACGAGATAGCTCAGCCATGGCTGGACTCACTTTGCTGTTTTCGACCCCTTCCCCTTCGGTATGCAGAGTATGCAGGACCTGGTCACTGGGGCGTTTCCAAGCAGTTCGAGTGGCAATCCAGAGGACAAGAGCTCCAAAAACCACCAAGAGGACCCCCAGAACATTCACAAAAGTAGCTTGTGGGGGAGAGTCCTTGTACTTCGGATTACTCCTTGATGATGAGGATGAAGAAAAAATGTAAAAAGTTACATGTGCTCTGAAGTACCAAATTTACATTTACCAACTATTATAATATTTTTAAAATACTTACAGGCCAAAAATGAGTTTCTCGGTGATGCCCATGAGTGATACAGCTATTACACTGCCAAAGAGTAAAAGGCCAGAGAAGACATGTAGGGGCATAACCGCTGCTCGCCAGGATGCAGGTGTAACTGGTATCAAGTAGATGCCAACTCCAAGAACAAGCTGCCCATTGAAGGAGAAAGAAAATCCACTCAGGTATTGTACCAAACCAGAATGCTGTGCACTATGACTTGGCATTTTAAAGATAAGTGAAGGACATTAGCTAACAAGAACTTAACATGGACCCAAGCTGCAACGCAGTTTGTTGAAATTATCAAAGTGTTATTTTCAACCAGACCATTGTCCCATAAAATATTAATAAAGATGGTTTTATGGTTTTATAACCAGTTCTGCAAAACACAACCAGGGACCTTTGATTGCCATCACATTATTTAAAATATTTAAAAACGGAGTGTATTTACCTGCAGACAGAACAGTGTCAAAGCTACCAGGCCCAACCAGCTGTGCAAGCTGTACATGTTGGGGATTTGGGCAGCATTGTGGAAATCAAAAACGGCCACCATAGCGATGACAGCGAAGATGAAGGCGAGTAGGTGCAAGCCGGCGTGAATGAACTTCATCGTCAGTTTGCTGAACTTCCAAGTCCAGGGGATTCTGTAGACAACGATGGCTGCAAGAAAAGAGCCAGTCAGACTATGATGTTTTACTATTATTTATTTGCATAACACTAAACACAGTTTCACTTAAAAAGTAGGCATCTGCCATTACACAGTTCGAGAGAGAGGTCATGTAAGACAGGAACCCATTAGTTTGTTATGAAAGCAGCAGTTGGTGGTAAACACTATAAGAATCAGCTGCTGTCATTTACTTTTCTAAGTGCATTCTAACAGGTGGAAGTTTTTCTTTTTACGAAGGCTAGATACTAAGCCGTGTTGTCAGACGAAACTTTATAGATAAGTTATGGTTAACACTTTACGACTCAAGTCAGTGGACTTCGCTTTCGTAAATAAGACGCTCGTAATCAGCAGCAACTTCTCAACTCGGCCAACGTGCCCTCCGGCAACCATCTCTACCACGTGTTTCAATGTTACATCTCTCCAGCAACAAAAGAGAAGAAAAAAGGGGAGACTCCGCTCACCTAAACCCTGGAGGAAAATAAAACCGCTGACTACCAAGACCGGATGCCAGTTGAACTCCGCCGGTCCTCCGTCCCAGGCGACCCCTTCTCCGTAGTGACTCACCCACACCGCCACGAACACTATGGACGCGACCCCGAAGAAGAGGGCGGCGGACAGAGACACGACGAAGTGTCTGAAGTTCTCCATCGCAGCAAGACGACCTGAACCGGGAGCAGCTGCGCTCAAAAAAAAGTTCCCGACTCCTTCGAGAGGAGGCAGTGGAGGAGGGAGCTCGGTCACGTGACTGGCTGCTGCGGCTTGGACCGGTTGCGAAACGGTGTGAGGAGTGATGCGTTTGGGTAATCACGGGTTTTTTCAGTGACGTAAAAATATTACACATGTAAGTTAACGTTGTAAAATACACACGTCTAAGTTGTTTTTCCCGGTAAAAAAAAAACTTTCCGAAAGAACTTCAGCCGACAGCACATAGCATGTCGGTGGCCTGATACAATACTTGTGTTTTTAAATGCATTTATTTGACAGTATGTGAATGGACATCAGTTTAAAAAACAACAACAACAATATGTAAAAATACCAGAGTATGCAAGAATACCAATTTAAAATCTGTATAAAGTGGGGAGCTTGCACCACACCAACACATTAGTTCATGAAATTCTTTTAAAAAGCCACTTATGAATATGTTAATATCTGGATGAATAGAGTGGAAACACAGAAGACATAACAATTTGATTTAAAAAGAGTGACTGGTGTAGACACTACAATGATTTAAATCACTGAATGATTATCTAATGTAGTTCACACAACAGACATGACACAATGGTCATAATCCAGATGTGAAAAAGAACATTTGTTTTACAGGAAAACGAATACATACACACACACACACACACACACAGGTACGAAAAACAAATAAATACATCATTTTGAAAAATAAAACGCCTTATTTTCCGGCAACCTTGAGCTTGTAGACATGGCAGCAGAAGCTGGTGTTCTTCTGTTCAATGTGAACAATTGTGTCTTTGTCAAAAAACAACTCATGTCGAAAAGTCTGAAACAAATTTAAAAAGCAAACATGAATCCATATACACAGCCTCTTCGGATTAGGGTTGGTACAGATGTGTCGGGTCGCTCACCTCGTCCCACGGTTCTACCAGATCCACGGTCCGCAGTAACTGCCCACTCTGGTTGTCGTGCAGTCGGATTTGGGCTCTTCCTTCTTCCTCCTCACCGTTAGTAACCACCACTGCCAGAAGGTCCAGCTCGTCCTCATATTCCACTATGCGGAAAGTCTGAAAAAAAATCCATTGTCGCTTTTGGTCTTTTCATGACATTTGTTGACGATTACAAAAATATAGCGAGAGACCTTAATAAATGTATGAGAAAGAATTTTATTAACCGGCTTGATGTTCCACAAGCGTGATGGTTGACGTTAGAATTAACTTGGACCAGACAATGTCCTTTTACATCCATCAGTTAAAAACAATTTGTTTTATGCATTTTCTTCAGCGAGATACTGGATCAGTAATACACGTTTAACCACTTACTTCTTGATCTGGGTCATCGTCCAGCTGATGAAATCTTTTCTTCACTGTTCGCCCCGATGAGGTGACTGTGACTCGTGAAGTTGGCTGCAGTAGCCAAAACATAAAATTATTATAAGCACATGTGATACATGAGGCGGTATTGCGATTGCGGTAGACTACGTATGACACAAGTGCAGCTTATAGTTACGTAGTAGGAAAATAACGACACTCACATTGTTGTGTCGATGGATTTTCATAGAGAAATCCGGAACCACCTCTGAAGATGAGCCATTGTTCAGTTCACCAATGATTTTCAGGACACTCGGGGAACAAGAAAACAACATAATCTGGAACATCAAGTATATAGGAAATGCATGCATCATAGAGTACATGCCAGTAGAGGTTGCAAAAAACTTCCAAAACACATTTCTCCACTGTCTTCCTTTTGATAAGTAGATGTTGACTAGCACTCACTTTATCGTTGCAGGTCCAACATGAAGGATTCTTCCTGAGTCGTCAGGGTGGAAAAAAATCCCATCGCTCTCGAGAGAGCAGCAGTTCATGTTCTGTATTCCATTTGATGCCTAATGTCACAGTTAAAAAGTATCACAATGACTAGGGAACGCATGAAATGTATAGCAAACTGCACATAGTGCCATAATGACTATTACTGGGTTTCCACGTATATTTGCTGAACCCCCCCCCTCCATTTCAAGCTAAGTTTTTCTGTTACTGGATTTGTTTACTTCAGTCTGCAAATCATCAACCACGCAGCACGGTGTAAAAGATAACCCTTAACTGCACTCAAACTCGTTGTTTGAGTGCAGCTTAACCTCTGTAGGCTTAAGAAGGTGCTTGTGAAAAGTGTTGTACCTTTATAGAGCTTTGAGGAGCAGAATAGCGCCATTTGATACCTGGACAAATGTCCAGGTACATTATCAGTTTGAAAATTAGGTTTCTGGTAAGTATGTGTGCATAGTATTATTTAAAAATTATACCACAAATGTATTTCTGTTGCACACCAAAAGCTGGAGTATTATATACCAGTATTTGAGGCGCACCACATTGATGATGGCAATAAAAACTATGGTTGCTTGTGTTTTGTAAACTGTGGCTGCGTAAATGTGACTGGATGTTTTTAGCCCTAGTTGCTTTTGTCTCGAGTAAGAAATAAACGTAAAGAGCGTCATGAAGGACACACTGGATCTGGAGTAGTCCAGAGTAGAGCTGTAGGGTTTCGGGGTGGTTCAGCAGCTGAATACAAAGACTGTCACAAGCATCTGTGGCCCTTCTTAATCTGACAGTTTCAATATCTCTCCGCCCTTTAGGGGGTCTATCGTACAACAAGAATAGGAACATTTATCAATCGCTAGCGTATGCTACATTGTGTACCCAGATAACACAAATATTTGAAACATCTTGTTAAAGTGTGTAGTTAAAGATGACCTTTTAAACTTACTATAGTGCTGTCCTTGAGGGAACAGATGTGGTGAGTGCCCTTGTGATTTTTATGCGGTGGTGTGTAGATGTAATGCCACGGGTAGCCTCCCATCTGGACACTGTTATCAGCACATGATACCTCGAAAAGCACCGGAGGCCGATCTGCGCATTGAGACATAACAAATAGAAGACCGCATTCTGGTTTACAGCGGCCAAGCCAATCCACCAAAATCTTCAACACAAAAACTCAACCGGTCCCGACTTCAAAATGGACTCACCTGTGATCTGTATATTTACTGGGATACCAAAGGGAACATCTCCCACACTTTTGCCACCAAGAAGTGAACTCTGCTTTCCAAGTGTTAGCGTCTCCTTCATATACTGAAAACAAAGAAGATGTTCATCAGATACACAGAACAGTAAGCAGCCAGAAGGATAAACATTTTCACATGGATATCATTTTCCCAAATATATTACTGATCTGATTAAATAAACGCTCAACAATGCCCTTTAAAATACCCACCCTTTGAACAATGTGCTCAAAGCTGTACAGCTTCACCGACTTGTTGCTGTAAGACACCACGAGGACACCTTGGGACAGAACAACATCAGTCACGCCATTTCCAAATATCTGAAAGAATAAGATTTACTTTACTTTTTTTGTGCATTCATTTTACAGAACTTGCAAATGTATAACAGTACATCACTCCCTCTGGCATAACAATAACCAACAACAAATCCCCCTACCTTTTTGTTGATCTCCAAAATGCCAACAATTTGCAAGGGAAAGACATTGAAGATGGCCAAGTGCATCACCGTATTCTGAGTAACACCTGCCTGGGATTTTAAGAAAAAGAAGAAAAACTTAGAATAGTCTTAGAATAATATTTATGTCCATTTTCGCTTTCCTACATTGGAGATCCCTCCCTAAATCAGGGGTGCCCACACTTTTCCGGCTCGCAATCTACTTTTGCATTACTTTCGGTCATCTCCCGCGGTAGACCGCGCATGCGTGATGTGATGATCGCGATCGACCTATTGGGCACCCCTCCCCTAGTATGAGGCAATTTAACACAAGATAAGCATGCTAATATATTTTTATATATATATATATATATATATATATATATATATATATAAAAATGTATGAAACAAAAATAGCAAAACTTCAGTTCAAAGACAATTCTTTCAAAGCAATACCTAAATTGCCTCACTGATCATTAGAACATTTATATACACACACACACACAAGAATATTTTCTGACATCCATGCAATGTGCCAAAAATCCCTTTACAGCAAGATCCTCAGCTTTGTGAGCCGTAGTGAGGACCCTCACACTCTATAAAGAATAAAGAACAAAACCTGGCGCAGAACACACAGTAACTTACCTGTCGTGCTAAAGAGGTTGCTTTATTTTGAACAGATTTAACATAAAACATCTCTTGAGGGACGTCCCAGCCGAGATACCTACCAAAAAAACCCCAAACATTTAACAAGATTAAAGATTTCTTTTGACAGGAACCACACCTGAAAAAGGCTACATTCATGTAACTTGTAGAAATGGAGAACTCGGGGCCTTGACAATACCTGAACTTGTGTTTTGAAGACAAGTAAACTCTCTGCAGCTCCTCTCCTGTTTCAGCTGATAGGCGATACAGCCAGTTGTCGGCAGTCAAAGCCAAGAGGCAGGGCTTCTGATCAGAGGGGGAGGCTAACGTGCGGTCCTGTTGACGAGAGAAGTTCTGAACCAGGAATGTTCAAATCTGGTCATGAAAGAAACCTGCTTCAGTTATAGCTACTTACAAGTGGGCTCTGACACAGCAACGCATCTTCAAATTTCTCCAATTTAGATCTCCTGGGCAGTTTGTATAGAACTTGAGGCTCGGCATGAACACTGAAACCAGAAGATGTCGTGTCCCGTAAAATATCACACAACAACACAATGAACATAAAATCATGACAATATTCAGTAATTTCCCCATTGCTCTAACAACACAGCTCTTTTGATTCTGGAGATGACTTTAATCAACTGGTTATAATTGGTTTTGATGTTGTTTTGATAGTCAGAAGCCCTGACACCAAAGGATGGACACATTCATAACAGATCGATTTTTCAATTTCTCTCTAGAACGACTCGGTCTCGATTCAGAAAAGTTAATAATCGGAATTTAAAAAAAAAAAAAGTCCGTCTTGCGCGAGATATTTTCTCGCTCGCGGAGTGTGAACTTCCTCGCTCGCGAGGTTAGTCTCTGCTCGCGCTCGAAGGGGTTTTCTACGCGCTTGCTGTTTTTCTTTTTGACAGTAAGGGGGCGGAGCCAGTCACCATGGTCTCTACATCTGATTGGTTACAAACCCCGTCTGTGGATTGGCAGGAGTGATGCATTCACACAACTATAGAAGCCCATTTCTGCACTCATGTAAAGTCGAAATGATGAGATAAAACGTTGTCAAAAAAACAAACGACCCCCTTCGGTAATCGTAGTGGACCGTAGATGACAACCGGCTACAACCATCAAAAAATTTACCATCATTACTGGCACATTAAGAGCAATGCGTCCAGCTCGCAGACCGGTCCGTCAGTCTGAATCTGAATATCTTGCCAACTTTACCAAACTATGGAGGAGCCTGCGTATATCTTACCTCATTATTTTGATTTTCCAAAGAGTCGATCCGTATTGAAAGTTGGCAAGATATTCACAGATTTGGACTTTTTCCCCGGTATTATACAAATACGGACTGGTCTGAGACTAAGAGCAGCTTGTTCTTCATTTAAAAGAAAAATGAATCTGTTTAAGATTTTTTTTACATAGGCTACTTCCATATTGTGTTGAAATGCAAGCTGTATTGGGACTTGCATTGTTGATAGAAAATCATATTTGTGACAAAGATCTTTTTTTCTCTTATAAAAAATGAGAAGGTAATTCATCTGTTGATTTTCTTTAATCATCAAATAAAGTAGGAAGTGATTAGCAACCTCTGAGTAGCAAACTCAGATTTGAGAAAATTTAGAAAATCGAGATGCATCGATAATCGTTTTATCAGTTTAGAATCGATTATCGGTTTAGAATCGAATCGTTGACCTCTGAATCGGAATCGAATCGTGAGGTGCCAAGAGATTCCCACCCCTAGTATTGCGGCTGTCCCGCAGTGATTTTGTCTTCTTCAGAGACACATTACTACACTTAGAATGTGCATTTTTATGCCAGTTTTAAAGATGCCATAAATCATCTGTGGCGCTAAAGTATTATTTTGTGTGCCGAAGACTAAAAATAACTCAAACTCAAAATATACACACTCACCAGCTGTAGCAGTTCTGATAATTGTCAAAGTAGATTTTACCATTCTCATACATCATTGTAGACTTTGAGCTCTTGTTCCAGACTTTAACGAAACCCCTGTTGTCCTACAATGATAGAAGAAATTATATAAAATCATTAATTGAAACCAGCTGGCTACAGTTAACAGTTTGAAGCATTTATTTTTGCACTACCTGTAGTAGGACGCCTCGAAGGACCTTGACGTTGTGTCTGATCAGAGACCCGGCATCCCCGATACCTCTACTCCTCCGGATCAACAGCTCCGCGGCGTTCACGGCTCTGTCATCGCGGTACGGCGCCATCAGCGGGAGGCACCGGCGTCCACAGGAGGACTGTGCGGTACCATGACAGGGGGCGACGACCCGAGCTGACCCGCAAACAGCAGAGCGAGGGGAGAGGGAGATACGGTCTGAGACGGCGGCACCGTTTAAAGCTTGCCCGAGCGTCCGTCCGTCCTTCCGCGACCACCGTGAAGCCTCCTCCCGTATGATACTGCTACCGTTAGCTAGCGAGCTAACACGGAGAGGTAACAGCTAACGCTAACTGAAGTTAGCACCGTTGAGCTCGAGCACCTCGATATTTTTGTTAACTTTGTTCAAAAGTCGTACTTGCTTTGTGACAAATGACTCAGCGTTGGCTGAACAGTGGAGGTGCTCGGGGATGAACTAAATAATTTATGTCAGCAATTAAAAGTTGTTGGAATAACCGCCCTTCGGTTCCTCTCCTCCATGTTTGTAGTCTTTCTCAAGCGTCTTCTTCTAGCTCAGGAATGAAGGCAGGCGTAATCTAGTCTTGGATCATTAGTGGCCTCCTCTCGACAGTTGTCACCTTCTTCTTCTTCTGTCGTGTCGTGTCGTGTTTTCTGTCGTGTCCCTTTGTATTACCACCATAGACTTTGATTACCTCCCATCGATACTTGTTTTAATTTACCTTAAGTAGCTTTTACGGTCGAAATGATATAATTTCATAATTTAATAACTGCATTATTTTAGTGGTATATTCCAGTTCTATAGTACACTGATTTACAAAGATTTGAGTAAAACTTTGCCTCCCATTTGAAATTAAAAGTATAGATTTATATATTTACAGAGAATTCATTTTAAGATTAAAACAACAATTGATGTCTTAGTCTAAGTCTTATTAGCTGTGGTTGCAAAATATGTTACTCTTCTTTTGTTTTACAGAATAAATGCATCAACTGCAGAGTTTCTCTGTGGCCAAAGTTCTCAGCAGATTATCGTCAAGACTTCATAGTACAAGAGGAAGACCTTCAGCTCCACTTGGTTCAAGGATTCTGACCAAAAATGATGACATTTTTAAGCACAACATGTGGTCAGTGATGTACTGCAATAATTCTTTAATCTGTTCCCAATCTGTAAATGCCTTTTTATGAGCATAGTGTGGTTACAGAACAGGTGTGCTTACTTTTAACACCACTGGACTGAGGTTTAGGGTTACAGCTTAGAGCAAATCAACCTACAAAACGGAACAGTGGATTTATATATATTACTGTGTTATATTATATATTCAGTTTGATGCTGTTTGTTTTAGTTTCTATTGTTAAGCAGATGAAACAGTAACAGTTTTTTTATTTATTAGGGATCACGTGCAATGGACTGAAGAGGAAAAAGAAAACGCAAGGCAGAAAGCAAAAGAAAATTCCTCTACACAAATTCCTTTAAAGGAACAAGGCAAGAATGCATTTCTGCAAAAGTATGTTTTCAACTTATATTTGACTGGTATTAAACTTGTGAAAATATATCAAATGTCTTTACCACACAGGTACATTTGACACAGAGGCTTGCCAATACTGGGACAAGTTTTACCAGATGCACCAGGAGAGGTTCTTTAAAGATCGCAAGTGGCTATTTTTAGAGTTCCCAGAGCTGCTTCCTTATGGTGCAAAAGGTCAAAACGCAAACGGGCGTCTAGGTGATCAGCAGGCGTCACACCCACGACCCACTGGATCCTCCCCCACAGACACGGAGACCAGACTCCAGCAACCCAACGGACCCACTCACCATCACAGAAATACAACCCCCCCCGATCATCAGGGGGCAGCACCAGAAAAAAACAAAGCTCCCAAACAAACTCCTACTTTCCCTGGCCAGCAATCATCTTTCAGGATCTTGGAGGTTTAAAAAAATATATTCATATTGATTTAAATTCTGCTTGTTTTGATACAGCTACATGTCGACCATTACACAGTCGTGGCAAAACTAGGCTGTTAGTTGCTTTACTACAAGCATTCCATAACAGCACTTAAAAATAAATTACAAATATAATCAAATATATATTTTCTTCTCAGGTCGGATGTGGGGTTGGTAACAGCGTATTTCCCATACTTAGTTCCATAAAGTGAGTGAATATTTTTATATTTCCCTTTTCATCACTGTCAATGTGGATCATGTGGTGTCATTTTTTAGAGCAAAATATGAACTATGAACAAAACTGTAACAGTTATTGTTACCATTTTATTGTTATAATTGCACACGCCACAATATCCAAACCTGTGGCTCGTCATGGGTGCTGTATCATATTATTACAGAACTATGTACAGGACTGAGGATGCATAAGAAGATATAGTCAGTGTAAGTGCATGTGCCAAATAGAAGCTACAAAAAAGAGTGGGATCAAAAGTACTTGGTTCAATAATCATTGTATGATTACAAAATGCTTTTAAATGAGAAAGGAAAAGAGGAAGCATCTTTTTGGTATTGCCCTTAAGAATTTAGTTCAACAAGAGGTGCTGATTTTTATCCCCATCAGCAGTGAGGAGAATAAGACTTGAGAGTTTCTATGCCAGTTTATGATTGGCTCAATTTAACATTAACACCAGGAATTAATTGTTTGCAAATATGCATAAGTACGGGTGAAGTCATGGGTCCGAAGAAGGGATGATGCACTATTTGTTATCAGAGAAGGACTTTTTAAATTGGCTGTTCTGTTTCACAGAGAAACTGACGCATATTTGTACTGTTGTGACTTCTCCCCATGTGCCATTCAGCTGGTCAAGGTAAGCGTTGCTCATTTCAAGGGAAATTTATTTAAGCAGAATCATACTATATGTATATATATACATATATATGTATATACATATATTTGTGTGTGTGTGTGTGTTGGTATATATATATATATATATATATATATATATATATATATTATATTTGAGTATATATATAAGATATATTATTGAGTTTTCCAAAATCTCCAAGCGCAAACCATTATTGCGTCACACAATGAGCGTGCTTGAAAATCCTGTGGAATAATTCAAATTTTGTCCTAGTAGCTACATCTGAATTAATATATGTCAAAAAAGAAACGTATATGTATATATTAAGAGGAAGACTGACAAAGAATCCAATGTGGTTATTTATAGCAGCATTCCTTGAGTGCAAAATTATACTGATATAATTATAATACGTCTTATATGCTGCCGCTTAAGGAGATCAAAGTTGTAATATAATATATAATTCCATTACAATATTTACAAGTAACTTAATATGACAGTGAAATTATGGCAAGGGATTAAGGGGAATTAGCAACAACACAGAAATCACGTGACATCTATAGATTACAAACCCTGGACAGTTGTCAATCTATATGAGCTACCATTTGCATGTTGACCTCCTGTATTTTTGTCATGTAGGACCATCCAGACTACAGTGACTCAATGTGTCACGCGTTTGTCCATGACATTTGTGAAGAGGCCTCCTTTCCCTTCCCTCCTAAGAGCCTGGACGTTATCCTGGCAGTCTTTGTGCTCTCCTCAATCCATCCGGAGCGGTAGGAGAACATTTAAAAACGGGGGAGAGAAACTTCCTTCTCGTCAGGCTCCTGCGTTTACACGTATAACACCACTGTACTCACCATTACATTTAGCTTTGTCTAAACCCTCACGGCCCTCACATAACCTAAATATAAATCCATAATGTCACTGAGCACAGCATATTAACTGTACAGTACATAGTGGTGACATTTGAGGGATGGCGGGGTCTTTGTTAATTGACATTTCCCTGACAGAACGCAAGGGATTGTGAAGCGTCTATCTACATACCTGAAACACGGAGGGATATTTCTCTTTCGTGATTACGGGAGATATGACTTCTCACAACTCAGGTTTAAGAAAGGTGAGCATCCCAATAGCAACACACATCTGAATAAGCCATTTAATATTCGTTATACACTTCTTTGTGAAGTGTTTTTGGACAATTGAATATATTTCATCTTTACTTGTTAAACCTTTTCTTCTCTTTACAATCAGGACGATGCTTATCAGAAAACTTCTATACACGAGGAGACGGAACCTGTGTTTACTTTTTCACAAAAGGTAAAACCATGAGATCTTCAGCTCATCGGTAGTTGCAGTAATGACCTTGGTATTTTCTCTGGATTTTGAGGTTTTACAAACCTTGGATGAGTTAAAGAGCAAGTTTATGTTTATATTATTTTGGATTATATTCAAATGTTCACAATCAGAAATCCAGTAGTTAATTTGTATAGCAGCTGCCTATATGAGCTTTGTAATGCCAACTTCTCAGGAATCAGGAAACATTTATTGCCAAAATATGTCAAACATACAAGGAATTTGTCTTGGCGGTTGGTGCGTGACAGTAGACAGTGTAACAATAGACAACAAGACAGCAGTGCACAAGTAATAAAATAAAACGAAATGCTAATGCAATGGGTTAGTAGGATAAGGCTATGGGTTAGTATAAAATAAGAATAAAGTTAAAAATAAAAAATATTTAAAAGTTAAAAAATATTAAAAAATAAAGTGCACTATCTGACGAGTGACGACAAAGTGACGAGTGAGAAATGACAGTTAAAGTGACATGTGCAGTATGAAGGAGAGTGACCGGTGGAATGTCATAGTCAGTAAGTGGGGGACCGGGCTCTGTTGATGAGCCTGACTGCCGACGGGAAGAACCTGTTCGTGTGGCGGGAGGTCTTAGTCCTGATGGACCTCAGCCTCCTGCCAGATGGAAGGGGCACAAACAGGTTTTGTCCGGGGTGGGAGGGGTCGGCTACGATCTTTTTTGCTCGCTTCAGACACCTGGAAGCGAACAAGTCCTGCAGGGACGGCAGATTGCAGCCGATCACCCTCTCTGTAGAGCGGATGACACGCTGCAGCCTGCCCTTGTCCTTGGCTGTGGCTGCAGCGTACCAGACGGTGATGAAGGAGCAGAGGATGGACTCCATGATGGCCGTACTTTCTTCACATCTTAGTACTTGTTCGTCCATGTGAGCCTGTCAGCGCTTGTAGTTATGTTTGCACTTTTAGGGCCATTAGCACGCTTAGCTACCAGCCGCCGGCTTTTAGAACAATGCATAGGCAATAATAAGGCATTTATTTCCTTTATTTCCTTTTTTTTTACAGGGGAGGTTCATGATTTATTTTCCAGTGCTGGACTTGAAGAAATTCAGAATCTGGAAGACCGACGACTCCAAGTGAACAGAGGAAAGAAAGTTGCAATGCACCGAGTTTGGATGCAGAGCAAGTACAGGAAATTATAACCACCTCCACCATCTTCACATCCCACTGTGCACTGGCCCATTGTTCGATACTTTGCTCCATTCATTCAATCTTGAAGAACTTTTATAACCAAGTGGATTTGTGGACCACAACCAAAGTATATGCAATAAACGTGTGAAGTGAAGCCGTGTCTGGTTTTGTGTGTTGTAGATCACAGTGTTAATATCTAGAGATGAGTGTATTGACTATGTTGAGATCATTTCGTAAGGTTCAAGGGAGAAATACAGTGAATATGCATTAGAATGTAAAAATGAAACTTTGGACCTGTTTTTTTCTATTAGCATCCTTAAGTTAGCCTAAATATTAATGACAGGAAAAATACTTTGTTCTCCTCACTTCCGGTGAGTATTCCCTGGCGGTTTACAACTTGCACCTAAATGCACGTACGCAGGGTTCAGGTGTGCATCACGCCCGGGCTTCACCTGCTCGTTGACGATAACACACGTTTGCACACGATTCATGACGTTTCACAGGCAGCCGCTTGAAGACGGAGAGGTGGCCCCCGCAGCCCGGACGCTCTGCTGCTGCGGCGTGAGGAGGTTAGTGTGAAGATAATAATTAGACACTTTCACCCAGCGGTAGTCACCGTGTCCACGTAAAGAAAGAAAAAGAACCGCGCCGTGTCCGACGCTCAATCGCACAACCTTTCGCGGAGGATTAACCGAGTGCGCCGCGGTGCCAACACACGAAAAGTAGCTTGATGAGTGTCCAAAGTAGTGGAAGTTTAGAGGGGACGCCATCTTTGGTCCCAGCTCTCCACGTCCCCAACACGGACTGTGTTTTCGGCAACATACCGCGGCGGTGGTGTTGGTGGTTGAAGGCCCCGGAGAAGGTACCGCTTGAACGTATCAAGATGTCCCACGTATTTTCTACCTGCTCCCTTCGGTTATTTCTTTTTTTTAATATTCAGGGCACTGCGTTTAAAACCCGCCGGGCGAATCTCGGTGGCGAAACCAGCTCCGCTAGCTAACGTTCCACCAACGCTTCGGCTAGCTAGTAACTGGCTAGTAACTTAGCACCAGAGACACAGGACGACCCGGCCGGTGCGCTAACCGGCTGACAAACGAGTGCACCGCAGCGATAAACGCCTTTTAAACGGGAGCGGCGAGGTTAACCGCTGTACGCGGCGCATCTTTCTCCAAACACGCTGCCGTACTCAGCAGATTCCCCCACAACTCGCTAGTTGACTTACAGATGGATATAAAACGGATTAGTAAGGTTAAGTGCACGTAAAGAAAAGCAGCGTTTTTGTATGTGTGGGGGGGGGGGGGGGTGACTGTTAACGTTGTACCACCGAAGAAGTTGGGTGTGCGTCTCGCTGTTAGCTATCCTTTGTGTGTGTGTGTGTGTGTACGTGTGTTTGTGTGTAACGCTGGACTGGGGTTTGTTCGTCTACACACAGTGGTCACAATGAACGTGACGTTAACTTAACTAAACGTGAACGTTGAGCGTCACCCTAAGCCGGCGAGAAGGGTCTTCGATCGGTCGATGGCGGCACGTAACGACCGTTGAGCGTAGTGATGCTAACGCTACCGGGTTGGAGGGTACGTAGCCCGGTTTGACCTTTTTGTTAGTAGTGCTAACTGAACGACAGGAGTGCGGATCATCCTCTTCGCTCGAGATGCCCCGTGGGATGCGAACTGCTGTCCGCGGTGCACTATGCCCACCGTGACACAATCTAGTTAACCTCCAGATATATTTGCTCTTTTTTTGGGAACCCAACGTAGTTGTCACTTGTGTTTTTATCACACCTTCTTGTTCCCTCAGTAGCTTCCACTGGATGCTGTACAGGCTTGAAGAGATTTTGCATAGCTGTGGCCAGTTGGCTTCTAATTGTGTCGGCATTAGTGTTCAATGCGTGCATTGCATGAATGATTGCGTTAACCTGGCAGAGGATTTTCTTCATGACTTTCCAAGTGCTTTAAAACAGGTGGTCAGCCGAGTTGGCAGCAGCGAGTCAAAATGACATCCACAGTAGGAGTTGTAAGGGTTCAACCACATGTTCCTGCAGGGGCTGGAATATAGATAATAGTTATGCATGAGGCCTCGGTTTTTGAGACAAAGGGAATTCCTGGTGGGAAAACCCACACAGCTTATCTGTCGCTGAGATGGGGAAACTCGCGTAAACAATTCGAGAGATAAATTTTATGGAGCCAGCTAGAACCAGACTGTCTTTTTTTTTTTTTTTAAAACAGCAGCTACACCTCCTAAAGATAATTGAGTCGGATCATTTTTTGTTTGACTCAAAATTGCTTCTTGCGGGTATTGCGGCGCTATCTCGCCACGTCAGTTAAAACTCGTCAGCCGAAGCGTATTGAGGAGAAAATGGAAAAATGTGCTATTCATTTGAATAGCGAATGGGTGATTACAGAATATTTAGCGCTGCTGTGTACTCTGTCCAAGATGGTCTTGTTCGCTCATCTAGTCGTCAAAAACTGATGCAAGCAGAAGATAACTTCCTGCAGCGAAATGGACTACAAATTGGATTTGAAGCCACATGCGGTGCACTTGGTCATTTATGGTGTAGACTCATGGTTCATTCATTATTTCGCCTTTGTTTGACCACACGTTTGCTCTATTCCCAGCTGTTGTGACTTAATAGTTGTTATTTACATTTGTCATTCGGTGTATTGGGTTCTCCTTCATTTACATTGATGGCTTTTCGTAGATTCAAAATGGTCGTCTCATTAAAGCACAGCTTTGTTGGGCAGACCTCTCTGAGTCAGCAGCAACATTGGAGCCTGAGGAGCTCACGTAACGGTCCCACAGGAGCACGGTGCTCATCAGCGCCTAGCATTTCAAACGTTGCTCCTGGACCCTCAGGATAACAGTGTTTGTGGGGCGGCGATGGCTTTCCTTCTGGGCTTCTGCTCATCATTTTGTGTTATTGTAGTGGAATGAGTCGGTCTGGCCAGTAGTCCGGTTTACCTGTGAGGGTTTGGGGCTGCATGTGTGACTAAATAAGTCCCCTTTATTTTAACTCCGCTCCCACTGTCAATGCAACTGTGTCATCTGCCCTTGAGTGGGTGCGTCTCATTAAGCCGATTGTTGAAAATTTGAGACTTACTGTGAATGTTTGCTAATCCTCCCAGGCACCATGGACGAGCTGAACAGCCTGGACCCCCGGAGACAGGAGCTGCTGGAGGCGCGCTTTATGGGCGGGGTGGGCGGCAGCACAGGAGGCAGCACTGGCAGCACAAGTGCAGGAACCAAAGTGAGTGGATATTTTGCCGTTTGTGCTCCACGATGAATAAAAAGTAGTGTTTTTAATTGTCTGCGTCTTATCTCAAATCCTTTCTTCAGGGATTGACCAATAATGAATGTTCAAATCAAAGTTTTGGAAGCCTTGGATCCTCAAGTGACAAGGAGTCAGAGGTAAACTGAACCATTCACACACAGTTTTTATCATTTTTATAATATATATATATATATATATATATTTTAGTGTGTGTGTTAATTGATTACCCGTGTAAAATGTTAATCTTTAAATGAATTGGTGGGAGCCCTGTTCAGACCTGGCATTAGCATGCGAGGAGAGGTGTGTTGAGGGCCGACTCCTCAGACAACGTTTGGAGATGGTCAGGTCGGCATATGGAACCATTCTTTCAACAGCGGTCGTCCACGGCAGCTTGTGGTGGCATCATTTACGATGCACCTACTCAGTAACAAAAAAAAACACTAAAGCCATCCATTCATGTGATTGCTGGTCAATACATCCAAAATCTTCAATCCTGATGTACGTCGGTCATTTCCTGATAACAATGTACATCAAAACGTAGCGTTTATATAGATGGATATTCTAATTTTATGAAAAACATATTTGCGACACCCATCAAAACAAAAGTGACAGGAACAATAGCATGAATCGGAAACCGCTGATACCGCATTTCATGGGACAGGTGACGCATCGAGGCAGTTAATAATTTGAACCCTTAACATTAAAGTCAATAGCTAATTGTTCTTTTGTAGAAAGGTTTTAAAAAAAAACCAACCTTGTCAGTTGTGATTCTATTCAGAATTTTAAAAGCTAAAAATCCCTTTCTTCTACACCCCTTCTTTTAGCCCATATTTTGACCAGCTGAATTGACCTTTTACAAACTGCTATTCATACAAAAACTAAAAGTGCTGTTGCTCAGCAATCCTTTGTGACATTGTTCCTCATGTCTGATTAGGAACAAACGGATCCGACCAGTACCCGCTGGTTGCATTTGGTGTCTATGGAAGTTTATGAAATGGTAGTCCTTGTGGAAAAGTACGGTTATGAAGAAAATCTAGGCTTGTTCCGAATGTGTTTGTTAAATATTTCCTATTTTTAAGAATACTTGTAGAGCTCTTTTATTTTCAATCAGTCTATTTGAAAAGTCTTCTAACTTGTGAACAGAATGATGATTGTCTAAAAAGTAGTCTTTCTCATTTTGATAGGGGTCCGAAGTGAAAAGAGGCAGTTCTCCTGCTTATTCGGTAGGCATAAAATTACATCTTGAACTACGGTTTATTCTGTTAAGGGTGTTCAATACAAAGACTGAACCATACGGAAATGAATCTGCAATGAGAGATTGCTATCGTTATGCCTCAAATCTGTCATGGGAATTTCAAGCAATACTTTTGTTTTACATTGAGTCATTTGATTAAATGTTAGAGTAAAGGCTTGATGCAAGATCAGTTTATATCCAAACTAAGATATGAATAAGTCTGAAGATATTGTATTAAAATAATAACCATTGAATATGAAGCATATGATTTAATCTTTCAGACTCCGGAGAAGAAACAGTCAGAAACACCTAGAGGCAGAAAAAGGAAACCTGAGCTCCAGTCAGAGAGCAGCCAAGGTGATTGTCTTAATGTAAAACTGGTTCCCTTTCTGCTCATTCTTGCATTTAATCTTCAAAATATTAAATTCATTCTTTTCCTTTTACAGGGAAATCAATTGCGCGAGGACCCAAAATAAGTGATTATTTTGATGTAAGTTTTCCTACATGTTAAGGAGGTGTTGAGCGAGTATTATGTGCTGCGTTAGTCTTTCAACCACTGTGGTTTACTCGATATCCTGTCTCTAAATGACTGTACTGTGATTTTAAAATGGGTTAATAAAAGCCACAGTGGGTCTGCTGCTGTCAAATGTTG